GCCTGTCAATGTGTTCTGTATTTAGAAGAAATGGCTCTCCATGGCTTTCCATTTTTCTTATACGCGTTGTGTACAGTTTCGAGCTACTTGGCTTGAAACCGCTTGCGGATTTTAAGTTTTCAGTGGTCCGCCCCTCCAACAGGTGATCCTTGAACCGACCCAGCGCGAGACATCGAGGGAAACTCGTGGGGGTGACTGCGGCTCTGAGGCATAGGTGTCCTTAGATTAGATTGGCTAGAAATCGATGGGTTCCACTGGTTTAGACGGGTTTATTCCATTTACCAGGGAAATCCATCGGTTTTTCCCAAAGGCCACCTATGCTCTGAGGTATTCCTCGGGCTCCACGGGGCCCAAGGACGTGGTCATCGTGGTGGACGTGTCCGGGTCCATGCAGCTGAACGGCCGCGCCTTGCTGGCGAAGCGGGCCACCAAGGCGCGAAGCGCATTCTCAAACCGGAGAACCCGGAGACTGGATGTGTCCGTCTTTTTCTCTACTGCTGGGTTGGATCTTTAGACTTTAACTTTTGGGATTCCCATCATATGTCCTTTTTTGATCTTTTTTGACCAGCAAAAAGATAAGCTTTTTAAGGGGGATCTACAGCACCCAAGGGTTTGAGTAGGAAACCACCTGGTACTAGCAGGGCCTCATGTAAGCACAATATAAAGATGTTGTTTGTGTATAACATTTCTCCTTTGGGACAGGTGGTTTGAGGATAGTGGAAAACATGTCTGATTGGAGTTGGATCAACTCTTCCAACTCTGTGTTTGCAAAACAGGGAAGTGTGAGGCAAGTTTGCAGCTGTTTTTCAAGGATATCGTTATGACTGAATTCGTTCAGTTACGTTTTGGGTTAGTTTCTGGGTTCTCCAAAATGGAGGACCCCCCATCTTTTTTGTGTGGGGGGGGAGGGGGTTTTCTCCGTTCCCTTCAACTAGCCACTGGCAGCAGATCATTTTCCAGTTTTTGAAGAGAAGCGGTCATGACTGTTGAACACGCCTGTTTTTGGTGGCACGTCTATCACACGACAACATGTTCGCCTCAGGGTTTGCCGTTTGGGCCCCTATGGGTTTGTTATCAAGTCTCGGGACCACAGAGTGGCTGGGCTTCTTTGATCTCCGTGAAAAACATGCCTCAGAAGAAACACCCCATTTTCACCAGCGCCCAAAACCCTTCCCAGCAATCGTAGCAGGTGGTTCTACTAGTTATTTGGTTGTGGCATTTCATGTAAACCTTTTGGTCAGCCATCTGGCAGAACCGGACAAGTCACGTGTCTGGAAGCTGGTCCTTGCATTGGTCAGGAGTCAATTGGGGTCACTTCTGTTTCCACAAAAGCCAGCGGATCTACTCGCATCCCCGGGCCCGGTACGGGAATAAGGCTGTGGGTCAAAACCAATGGTACCATTTTGGTGTAGGTGCACCACCCATTTTAGAACCTATTTTAGTGGGGATTGGGATGTTCACTGGGGGACGGGATTTCGACCCATGGCCATAACACAACAAGGTTGTCCAAAAGCCCCCGTAGGAAGTTCCTTACTTCCCCTGAACGCTTGATTTGAAGCATCGACTTGTGACTTGTGGTTGATTCCAAGTAATGTGCAGATCTGTTGGCCACCCATTTGTTTGGGGTGGAACGCATTTGCCCACTGAAAACCCAAGGATGGCTCACTTGCAGGCAATAGAGAGCTGGAGGTTGTTTTTTGGGTTGAGTTAGGGTACCTTTACATTCCTATCAATCTGAGAAATCCTCTAGCTCAATCCAAAGTTGACATCACACTACAGTTTGGTGACCAAACCAGTGTTGTAGCAAGGCCAGACTTCAATCATGATGTGGCGATTCGGGTTTCCGTTCGGTTTCCCGTTCAGGGAACCACTGTACAGCTAATGCTCTTAAACTTTGCTGTGGACAAGTTGGGCACACACCAAATTACTTGTTGTTGCCCCAGAATGATTGAATCATATGAGTCTAACCCAGAGGCGTTTGATGTCCCCAGGGTTTGAGTCATTTGAAGCAGGATCAAATAGACCCCTGGACCCTTCGCGAGCAGTTGTACCTTTCCCCCCTTCTTTTTCGTTTGGACGCTGGTTGAGTCGTTGAGCCAGGCCGTGATCGAGACCTTGGAGTGGAAGGCGACCTGTGGGGGCCTCTTGTGAAGATTCCGAAAGTTCAGAACATTTGAAGGCTCCTGTCCAAGGCCTTTGCTCATGGGCTTGGGGGGGAGGGAGGGGAGGGGGAGCCCAAATAAAACATAAATATATGGCCTCATTAAGGGTTAAGGGCTGAATAAGGGCTTATTTGGGCTACCTCCCCCCTTGCCTCCCTCCCCCCCAGCCCCCATGATTTGGGTTGGTGAATGCTTCGTCCCAAAGTAGGATCCACATACTCCTCGTTAGCATGGAACCCCACAGTGTCCTTTGGATTCTGCTTCAAAGGTCACTGTGTTTCGGGCTTCCAGTAAACTGCAGGAGAGCGCAGGTCGTTTATTGAGTTAGGCAACCGGATTGTGTACTGCTCCGCCTCGCCAGGATCTTGCAGCTGATTTCGAACTAACCCGCGACTCCCCTGGCATGAAGCCATGCTTAGTAAGGGAACCGAGCCACCAAGCAGCCCAACATAGACGACGTTCACGTAATTTGTGCCAAACCGCAAGACACCAGTCTGGAAGGTGTCTCATATTGGTTGCTCTCAGAAGAACATGGTCAGGACGGGACATCTCTCTACCATGCGCATCTACGTAGGACCCCGCAAAATGGTGGTTTTCATTTTGGCCTTCAAAGCGACCTGAAAAGTACCCTCACACGCACACACCCACACCCACCCACACACACACACACACACACACACCCACCCGCACCCGCACCCGCACCCGCACCCGCACCCGCACCCGCACCCGCACCCGCACCCGCACACGCACACGCACACGCACACGCACACGCACACGCACACGCACGCGCACGCGCACGCGCACGCGCACGCGCACGCGCACGCGCACGCGCACGCGCACGCGCAGGCGCCTGATTTTTCAGGGGCAGCGAAAACTCAAAATTTGAGTTCATTAGAGTCTGCAACTCGAGTCCCACTTCACAAGTGATCTGAAAGTGGCACCCCAAATCAACAAGCACAAGGAGTTGATCTAATTGGCCTTTTACTGCCCATGGGTGCGGGAAAGAGGGGGCTGGCCCAGTTTCGCATGTCTTTGCCCATGTCGCACTCTGTCCCCTATGTGTCCAAGACCGCGTGGTGTTATTGTTTGTTTGTTGCTCTTTTTGTTTCGGCTGGGGCCGAACCAACAGTTCCAGTTTGGAAGCCCTGTGACCCGTGCATGGATCCTCCACTCATTTGAGGGCTCTTCCCTGGGTCCGTCCGGCCGCTGGGCCGCTCCGGAGGGTTCGCGACCTGCCAGGATTTCGCCACCATCATCCTGTTCAACAACGGCATTTCGGTCCCTGGGCTCCAGATGGGCATCATGTCATCTTGGATTTGAGGGCCACGTACCCTCCCAAAAGACATGGGTCCCGGCCAGAGGATCATGTTTTCCGGGGGCTCCCTGTTGAGTTCCATTCGTGGCCACACCAAGGGACTCTCCTTCAAACTGGAGTTGTCATGAGGATGGCCCGCTTCGATATCGCAGAAATGAGTTCTTCTCCACAACCATGCAGGTCAATCAGACTTGAGCAGCGTTCAACGCCTCCGTGTACATGTTTACTACGAGTCGCCTCATATTGACTTGTGCGTAAGCAAAAACTCGGCACAAGTTGGCCAAAGCAAAGCCTCCATTACGACATAGCAAACCATGACATGTTTAGGACATGGCTCAATTGAATTCCTGATTGCCGTTAGCTTTTGAAATATATTTTCGGTCGCCCCAATGTGTGTAGAGCCATTCCGTGAGGCATTTGTAGCACGTGAGAGAAGCAGCTTTGCACGCTCCCTGCATTTCCCCGTTTGTTTCAATTAAAGAAAACACGTTGTGGGGGATCTTTAAACGTGGGAAATTTAGGGAATCCTGTTCGCAATTCTTACACGCATTGTTGACGGTCCCCTAAGGACACGGCGATAGCATTAGAGAATTCAGCTGGACTCATGTACAACCACACTAAGAGTTCACTTCCAGAATGGGCATTTGTGCATCAATGGTGCATTTGAGCCCCATGACGCCAATAAATTGCGACTGGTTTTTGACCTCCGGCTAAGCCTTCATGTCCATTTTGGAATCATCAAAGTTTGCCCATTTCCTTGAGGATGTTTTCTTCAAAACGTTCCGGCCGGACGGTTTGCAAAGTTTTTCTTTGCCTGGGTTCTCCACCAGAACACGTCCAAGTTTTGGTCTGCCAACCCGGTTGGCCAGGCCAACTCGGTTGGCCAGGCCCAGTACTCTCAGATGCTGGTGCCCATGTTCGACGCAGAGCGGAAGAATGCACTTCTCTGGCTGGAGCAGCAGGCAACAATTGTCTTGGTGGCTCCCAGCCATCCCCTTAACCTTTTAGCACTTTCAGTGTTTCGTGGTGTTTTCTATTTAGCCCGCTAAAAGTTAAACTTTTAGAGGGGGATCTGAGGACAGCTCAGTTGTTTGTCGTTTGTTCCGTAAGGCATTGGATGATTGGATGTTTGGAAGGGGGTGGGATGCTTAGGTGTCTTTGTCCTGGAAATCTATTGTTCTTCTTGCATTTTTTGAGGGGGAGAAGATTCTTGGGGAATCTGATGTTTCATTGCCGCTAGGATGGGAATCAACCGCATCAGAGTCACAGAATGGCGCAATTGCATTTTAACCTTTTGCGGTAGGGCCTCACTTGTGATTCTGCGTTGCTCAACATGTCTTCTTTTTCGTGTCTCGCTGGACGGGCCGCGAATCTCGGGAGGTGTGGGACAGCGGGGGCACCAACTTCGTGACAGCCATGGACAGCGCCTTCAACGTCATCAGCTCCTCCGTGAGCGCTGGGAAGACCTCCATGTGCCAGAAGGCTCGATGGATCGGGGAGTCGAGTCGACTTGGGAGGTGGGG